GAGCCGGGCGCTTCCAAGCAATCCTTGCGGGAGAGGTCCTGGGGAGCAGGGAGGAGCGTGAGGCTGGGACCCCAGAGCAGGCAGGGAGCAGGCAGCACCCCGTGCCTCAGTTTCCCCATGCAGGAGTCCCGGCAGAGCCCCAGGGTGATCCTGGCCGGGTCCAGCCATCCCCCCCCATCCCCTCCACCCCAGCTCCCTGCGGATCAACCTCCCCAGCGCAGGGGTTTTGCAGAGCAGCATCGTCTCTGAAGCCGCAGGTCAGGAGCCAGCTCGGTCGCCACAACTGCCCCCGTGAGCCCCACTGGCCCCCATCAGAGCCTGTGGGTCCGGGTTTGTCCTGGGGGGCACACAACCACCATGTGGGTGACACTGCCCTGGCTCCACCAGCACCCAATGTACCCACTGTGCCGGAGCTGCCCATCCCCAGCAGGCCATGACGCAGCTGAGGAGCCGGCCCCACCATCCCTTCCTCTTTTGCAGCCTGTCCCATCCCCAGGTCGGGCACGGCCCCAATTTCTAGGGGTGAAATTGCCCCAGGGAGGGGTCGGTGCCAGCACCGGGGACCACAACCCAGCGAGGGTGCTTGTGGCACAGGGAGGGGAGCCCCGTTGCCCATCCAGCATCTTCCATCAGCAGCCCTCAGGCGCTCTGGTGTGACACGAGCGCGCTGGGTCTCAGCATCCCCAGCCAGGCGCTGCTGCCTCAGTGGGACCAGAGCCCAGCTTTGGTACCGGGGCAGACACCAAACCCTGCGGGCAGCTGTTGTGGGTGAGACTGAACCGGAGCAGCTCAGCCCTTTGGGACCAGCCAGACCAGCAAAAAGGGGGTGCCCAAAGCCCCCCACCCTGCAACGGCTGGGGCCAACCCCTTGAGACCCCATCTGCTTCCCTGCGCCCCAGGGACCCCGGTTTCCCCCCAGCCGTACCGTCAGCCTCACGGCAGGCGTGTGGGGCAGCGAGTCCAGGGAGCCTTTGGGCGCGCTGGCCTTGCCCGTCCTGCGGCGCCCGGCCGAGTAGGGGCTGTAGCTCCTCTTGCCACCGGCCCGGCCCAGCATCCCTCCGTCCGCCACCCATAGGCCCCTCTGCGGAGGGCTCAGGGATAGGGACGGGTGCCCCTTGCTATGGAGCCATGAGCGGGCTCATCCCCGGCCCCATCTCACCCCATGCTCTGCGGCTGGGCGCAGGCGCGGGGCAGGCGGTGCCATGGGGTGCATGGAGGAACCCCAGCTGCCGGCCAGCCCCACTTCCTCCTGCTCCCCTCCAGCTCCCGGGGGGGGGTACAAATACATAAACACAGAGCAGAGCCGGGGCACCGGGGCTGCCCAAGCCCCCCGCTCCTCTCCCTGCCCTCTGGGGGTGTCTCTGCCCTCCCCAAACCCTTGGCCGCAGCCCCGTGGCTGGGCTCCCCTGCCCTTTGCCACGTTCCCTGTGCCTGCTCTATCCCCTTCATCGGGTGCAAAATCCCCCCAGGCGCACTGAGCAGGGTCTGTCTCTGTCTCCCTCCTCCTCCTCCTCGCAGACCCCCTGCCCGCACCCAGGTTCCCCCCACTCCCTTCCCACCCTGCGGCTCTTCCCCGCATCTCCACGGGTCCCGTGGCCCCATGGCCCCCCAGGTTGCCGTGGGGTGAGCAGGGGACACTCACCGGGAGGGTCTGCGGGACCGGGCTTCCCGCACGGCTCTTCTTGGAGATGGAGGGGGTTTTCATCAACTCCCGCTTCTTGCGGGAGAACATGGCTCTGGGGCGGCCGAGCCGCTGCCCCCGGGCCCCGCTGCCCTGCCCGGCTCCGGCTCCGGTTCCGGTTCCTCACCGTCCCGGCCACATTCGCCGGGACCAACTGTCAGAAGGGAGCGTGTGACACCGCCTTATTTCCTCATCGGCCTCACAGCCCAACCTGAAACAGGAAAAGCCCCAATGAGCACCCAGGGCGTCTCTCTGGGGGGGGGGGGACGACCCCGGCTGCCCCTTGGGGTTGTGGGGGGCTGCAGAACAGCGGCTGTCCCCTGTGGGGTTCACCCCTCTTTGGGGGTGTCCATCACCCCGGGGGGGGGGCAGAGCAGGGAGCACCCCGTGGGTGGGCACCCAGAGCTCGGCATCGCCATGACCCCCAAGGGTCCGGCCCCAGCTTCCCACTGGGGTCACCACCCGTGACCCACGCACCTATGGGTGCTGCAGCCCCACAGCCGCCTGCTCACCCAAGAGGGGCATCGATAAACCTCGATGGGAAATGGGGGAGCCTCCGGGGTCCTGGGGGGGGGAGTGTGTGTGTGTGTGTGGTGTGTTCCGCCCCCGGCCCCCCCTCCGGTCCCGGGGGACACGGACACGGATGCAGCAGATCCCGGTGTGTGGGGAAGGGGAAGGGGGGGTGTGGGGGGTGTGTGTCGTGTCAGCGTGTCCCGCGTGTGCGCGCACGTCTGTGTACATACGTGTACGGGGTGATGCACAGGCGTGTGCCCTCTATGGACGTGTGTTTGTGCCCGCTAAGGACAGGTGTTTGTGCCCGCTATGGACGTGTGCTTGTGCCCGCTATGGACGTGTGTTTGTGCCCGCTATGGACGTGTGCTTGTGCCCGCTATGGACGTGTGTTTGTGCCCGCTATGGACGTGTGCTTGTGCCCGCTATGGACGTGTGTTTGTGCCCGCTATGGACGTGTGCTTGTGCCCGCTATGGACGTGTGTTTGTGCCCGCTATGGACGTGTGCTTGTGCCCGCTATGGACAGGTGTTTGTGCCCTCTATGGACGTGTGCTTGTGCCCGCTAAGGACAGGTGTTTGTGTCCGCTATGGACGGGCGCTTGTGCCCTCTATGGACGTGTGCTTGTGCCCGCTATGGACGTGTGTTTGTGCCCGCTATGGACGTGTGCTTGTGCCCGCTATGGACGTGTGTTTGTGCCCGCTATGGACGTGTGCTTGTGCCCGCTATGGACGTGTGCTTGTGCCCGCTATGGACAGGTGTTTGTGCCCTCTATGGACGGGTGTTTGTGCCCGCTATGGACATGTGTTTGTGCCCGCTATGGACGTGTGTTTGTGCCCGCTATGGACGTGTGCTTGTGCCCGCTATGGACGTGTGCTTGTGCCCGCTATGGACGTGTGTTTGTGCCCGCTATGGACGTGTGCTTGTGCCCGCTATGGACAGGTGTTTGTGCCCTCTATGGACGGGTGTTTGTGCCCGCTATGGACGTGTGTTTGTGCCCGCTATGGACGTGTGTTTGTGCCCGCTATGGACGTGTGCTTGTGCCCGCTATGGACGTGTGCTTGTGCCCGCTATGGACGTGTGTTTGTGCCCGCTATGGACGTGTGCTTGTGCCCGCTATGGACAGGTGTTTGTGCCCTCTATGGACGGGTGTTTGTGCCCGCTATGGACGTGTGTTTGTGCCCGCTATGGACGTGTGTTTGTGCCCGCTATGGACGTGTGTTTGTGCCCTCTATGGACGTGTGTTTGTGCCCGCTATGGACGTGTGTTTGTGCCCTCTATGGACGTGTGCTTGTGCCCGCTAAGGACAGGTGTTTGTGTCCACTATGGACGGGCGCTTGTGCCCTCTATGGACGTGTGCTTGTGCCCGCTACGGACGTGTGTTTGTGCCCGCTATGGACGGGTGCTTGTGCCCGCTAAGGACAGGTGTTTGTGTCCACTATGGACGGGTGCTTGTGCCCGCTATGGACGTGTGTTTGTGCCCGCTATGGACGGGTGCTTGTGCCCTCTATGGACGTGTGCTTGTGCCCGCTATGGACGTGTGCTTGTGCCCGCTATGGACGTGTGTTTGTGCCCGCTAAGGACAGGTGTTTGTGCCCGCTATGGACGTGTGTTTGTGCCCGCTATGGACGTGTGTTTGTGCCCGCTATGGACGTGTGTTTGTGCCCTCTATGGACGTGTGCTTGTGCCCGCTATGGACGTGTGTTTGTGCCCTCTATGGACGTGTGCTTGTGCCCGCTATGGACGTGTGTTTGTGCCCGCTAAGGACAGGTGTTTGTGCCCGCTATGGACGTGTGTTTGTGCCCGCTATGGACGTGTGCTTGTGCCCGCTATGGACGTGTGTTTGTGCCCGCTATGGACGTGTGCTCGTGCCCTCTATGGACGTGTGTTTGTGCCCTCTATGGACGTGTGTTTGTGTCCGCTATGGACGTGTGTTTGTGCCCTCTATGGACGTGTGCTTGTGCCCGCTATGGACGTGTGTTTGTGCCCTCTATGGACGTGTGATTGTGCCCGCTATGGACGTGTGTTTGTGCCCGCGTGTGTCCGCGACGGCTCCCGCCCCAGCCCCGGTTCCCCCGGTTCCCCCGGTCCCGGTCCCGGTCCCGGTCCCGGTGCTGGGGGGGGGGGGTGCGGGACCCCCCCCTCCGCGATCCGGGCGCTTCTGGCCTTATATGGGCATTTTGGCCCCGTCCAATCAGCACGGGGGAGAAGCGGGTCCGAGCCCCGCCCGCCCCGTCCCGCCCGCCCCGTCCTGTCCCGTCCCGCTGCCGCTGCCCGCTCCGGTACCGGCTCCGCCGCGCTCCCGGCCATGAGCAGCTCCCAGTTCAACAAGGGCCCCTCCTACGGCCTCTCCGCCGAAGTCAAGAACCGGGTGAGCAGCGGCGGGGGAAGGCCGGGACCGCCGGGATTGGGGTTGGGGGGGGGAGAGTCGGGGCCACCGGGGGAAACCGGGGCCACCGGGGGCCCTGGAGAGCCGGGTGTCCCTGTGCTGCTGCGGGGAGGGTGCTTGGATCCCGGGGTCCTGAAGAGCAGAGGGGTCCCTGTGCCACCGGGGTCCGGGAGGATGCGGAGCTGGGCATCCCCCGAGGATGCGGAGCCGGGGGTCCCGGTGCGCCGGGGGCTCTGAGGGGTGGGGGGTGCCGGGAAGGGGCTCCCGGCTCGGGGTGCCCTGGCCCTGCCCGCGGGGGTCCTGAGGGGTGTCCCGGGGGGGGGACCGGGGCTGGGACGGCTCCCGGGTACCGGCTTCCTCACCCGGGTCCGTGCAGTGGCCGCTGTCGCTCCCTGCAAACCCGGGGCTGGGGCTCCCGGCGCCTTCTCCTGTGGGATGCTCCGACCCGCGGCGCTCCCTGGGGATGGGGCTCAGTGGCCCCGGGGGGATCCCGACAGGAGCAGCCCCCAGCCCTCACCGGCTCCTTGGAGCCTGGGACCCCCGGCGGGCACCCGGAGCCTTGCAGCGAGCCGCTCTTCTGCAGGGTTCCCATTTCGGGGCCCGAAGGGGAAAGGGGAACCGGTGCCTCCGGCTGCTGCAGGGTGCAATGAACCCCCTGACCGCCGGCACCCTCCGCCGGGCCGATGGAGCCTCCTCTCGGAGCTGGGTGCTGGTGATGGGCAGCCCATGGCGCTCGGTGCCTGCACCGTGCCCTGGCAGGGCCTGTGCTGCCGTGATGGGGGCACAGGGGTCCTGTGGGGCTGGGGGATGCAGCCACCCCCTCCCCTGTGGCTGGGCTCCAAGGCACTGCTGCTGCCCTGGGCAATGGCACAGGCAGAAGTTGCGGTGTTGGTCTGTGCCTGCCCCCAGGCGAGCTGAGGTTGAGCCCTGGTCACCCCAGGGCAGCCGGTGGTGGTGGCTCTGCATGGCCATGGGGATGTGGCTGGGTTCTGCTTGCCCGGCCTTGCAGGGTTTTGCATTTCATCACCGGCAGAAGACGGGTCCCTGCTTGCATCTGGGCTGGGCTGCACCCGCGCTGAGCGGGTGGACACGCACCGGAGCCTTGCTGCTGCGTGCTCCTGGGTGCTTCAGCTTGATTCAGCAAGACCTGAGCCAGTTTTACTGCCCCGCTGTCTGCTGGAGGCTGACATCACCCACTGGGAACCAGTCAAACCAGCGGCACTCTCCCAGTCCGTGCCAGCCCTTGCGACTGGGCTGTGGTGGGGTCTGCTTTGGGGCCAGTCCCCTCCGACCCCAGTCCCGTGCTGGCCGTGGTGTGGGAAGAGGAGCCTCTGCACTGGGAGGATGGTGGGATCCCCCGGATGGGATGCTCGAGGTGTTGTGTGAACCTGACCTCAGCTGGACCATCCCTGCATCCCACCAGATGCATCCCAGCTGGTCCATTCCCACTCCAGGGATCCCAGGATGGAGTGGGATGGGTGAGAGGTGGTGGCTGGCTTGCAGCCATCTCCGGGTACCAGCTGAGCACAGGAGGAGCAAGGATCGAGCAGGGTGGCTCTTGGGGCTTCCACCCATTCCATTCTGGAAGCCTTTTCCTTCCACCAGGCCACGCTGCCGGTGATGCTGCTGGCCCGGGCAGCTGGTCTCCATTTGGGAGGAGGCGTCCGCATTCCTGGCATAGCCGCGGTGACCAAGGAATCTGCGGCGGCGCATTCGGCCCCGCCGGAGGGGAGAGCATCGCATGGCCGGGGACCCCGGGGCTCAGTGGGGGACAGGGAACAGGGAGGAACGGGCCCTTGATGGGGGACGTTTCCCTCCTGCCCCAGGGGCATTTCCTCCTCATCCCCCTGGAATGGTTTGGAAGCTGCCGTGTGTGAGGGGCACCGTCCCTGTGCATCTGATGTGCGTGATGGCAGCATCGTGCTCGTGCTCCATCCCCATCCGAGGGGCAGAGGCAGGGGCTGACCCTGAGCATCCCCCTCGCTGTCCTCTCCCAGCTCGCCCAGAAGTACGACCCACAGAAGGAGGCTGAGCTGCGGACGTGGATCGAGAGCGTCACGGGGCAGGAGATCGGGCCTGACTTCCAGAAGGGGCTGAAGGATGGGGTGATCCTCTGCGAGTGAGTCCTCATCCAGATGGGGATGGGGGACCCCCACCAGCCCTTGGGGTGGGATGGGTGTGCTGCATCCAGCCACGCCGGTGGGACCCATCAGATAACGGCAGCCAGAGTGACCCCCAAAGCACCCGTGTTGGGGGAGCCCTGGGACCAGCAGGGACGTGGGGAGACCTGGGTTGGACCTTCCTGAAAGGGGCCTGTGCCCCACTGCAGCCCCGCTCCCCCTTTGCCTCCCTCCAGGCTCATGAACAAGCTGCAGCCCAACGCGGTGCGGAAGATCAACCGCTCGGCTCAGAACTGGCACCAGGTAGGGGCAGGCAGCCCATGAGCCCCCGGCCCCTCTGCTGTCACCCACAGGGGGTCTCAGCCCTCTCCCCCTGCCCACAGCTCGAGAACCTCTCCAACTTCATCAAGGCCATGGCCAGCTACGGCATGAACCCCGTGGACCTCTTTGAAGCCAACGACCTCTTTGAGAGCGGGAACCTGACGCAGGTTCAGGTGTCGCTGCTGGCACTGGCGGGCATGGTGAGCACATGGGGGGCGAGCGGCCTGGGATGGGGGCACTTGGGGAGGGTGGGAGGTCGGGGTCTCCCCATCCTTCCTCACTGCCCCTCCCCGGCAGGCCAAGACAAAGGGGATACAGAGCGGGGTGGACATCGGCGTGAAGTACTCGGAGAAGCAGCAGAGGAACTTTGACGAGGCCAAGATGAAGGCTGGGCAGTGCGTGATCGGCCTGCAGGTGAGATGCTCCCGAGGGTGAGAGGGTCCCGGTTGTATCCAACCCTCAGCACCATCACAGCTCCAAGCATCACCGGGGAGACCTGAGGCTCGAGGGATCCAGGGCGATCTCGGCTCCATGTCAGCATCTCATGGCTGGGAGCCTGGAGAGGGTTGGGGAGCGCTGGTTGTGTCCTCTGGGCTGTGGGGGGACAGGGAGGGGGAAAGGCACACGTGGGGCAGCTCTCGGTCCTCACTGGCCCCCTCCTTGTCAGATGGGCACCAACAAGTGCGCCAGCCAGTCCGGCATGACGGCCTATGGCACCAGGAGGCATCTCTATGACCCCAAGAATCAGATCCTGCCGCCCATGGACCACTCCACCATCAGCCTCCAGATGGGCACCAACAAGTGTGCCAGCCAGGTGAGCCACCGCGGCCGCAGTGGGGAGGGATAGGGGGGGAACCACAGCCGAGCCCTGCTCCATCCTATCCTTCCAGGTGGGCATGACGGCTCCCGGCACCCGGAGACACATCTACGACTCCAAGATGGGGACGGAGAAGTGCGACAACTCCTCCATGTCGCTGCAGATGGGCTCCAACCAGGGCGCCAACCAGAGCGGGCAGGTCTTCGGCCTCGGCCGCCAGATCTACGACCCCAAGTACTGCCCACAGGGCAGCCAGGGCGAGGTGGCCAACGCCACGGGCGACCCGAGCGGGGACCCCCCCGGGTACCACTACTACCGCGAGGAGGAGGAGAGCTACTGAGCGGGATGTGGCCCAGCCCCATCTCGCACCATCTCATGTACAGACCCTGCCACATTCCAGCCTCTGCTTCCGTCATTCCTTCTGGTTTAATTTTAAAATGGATCTATTTTTCTGAGCAAGGAAATAAAGACCCTGTTTCTAGAGAAGAGAACACCCGCTTCCTGCAGCCCGCAAGACCCCGAGGTCCTGGCACAGCCCCAGTGTTGGCTCTGGGAAGGCAGCGGATGCTCCAGCACCAAGGAGTGGATGGTTTCTCCTCCCTACCCAGCACCCACCCTACGACGGGGCAGGATGCAGCTCCCACATCCCTTGGCAAAGCAGAAAGCAGCTGCTCCTGGCGCCGCTTCTCATCCCAGTGCTGAGCCCCATGGAGGAGAGGGGCTCAGGATGGTGGGATGCAGCGGGAGCATCGTGTGCTCTCCGGAGGCGAAGCTGGAAACGCTTCTGCGGCAGGACTCGGAGGGAAGGGAGCTGGTGTGGCCGCAGGGCTGGGCTGGCAGCGGCATTCCCGGCACTCCCAGCACCGGCTGCAGCTCGGGAAGCCGCAGCGATGAGATCTTCTGCCAGGCTGGAGCCAAGGCTGCCTCCGACGGCCGCATCCTGTGCCACGGGGGGATGCCCGAGGGGTGGGGAATGTGGGTGCATGGTGCAGCCCCGGCCGTGCCCAGCGGCTGCATCCCCTGCGGCGGGGGGGGTTAATGAAGATCCTCGTGTATGGAACCCTTGTTTTTAAGAAACCCCAACTGTTTTCACTTCAGCAGGAGCCGGGTTCTGGTGCAGGCTCCTTGCATGCGTGCTCCAAGGGCTCTGTATTGCCCTGAGCACAAGAACCAAACCTGGGTGATGCCCCTGGAGCCCCGAGGGCTGTGTCCCAGCGGTGGCCCCGTGCTCATGGCCCCAGCCCTGCCTGCAGGACCCTGTCCGGGCAGGGATCCACCTTTTGGGGTTAAACGCTGCGTTTCAGCGAGTCCAGGGCCATCGCTGCCACCCAGCACCCCAACAGCACCCCGGGGGCTCTGATGGGGTGGCTCCGGGACCCCGAGTGGGTGTAAAGGGGTGGGAGCTCTCCCCACCTACATCAGCCATGGGGGCCAGCACGGGTTCCAACGGGGTCTCAGGCCGGGCTGCAGTGCCCATGGCGGGGTTCTGCTGCCCCGGGGGTCTCAAGGGAGGGGTAACAGAGTGGGACAGGGCAGGGTGTGCTATAGGCAGGGTGTGCTATGGACAAGGTGTGGCGGGGACGGGGATAGGGATGGGGATGAAGATGGGGATGGGGATGGGGATGAGGATGGGGATGAAGATGGGGATGGGGATGAGGATGAGGATGGGGATGAGGATGAGGATGAGGATGGGGATGAGGATGGGGATGAGGATGAGGATGGGGATGGGGATGGGGATGAGGATGAGGATGAGGATGAGGATGGGGATGGGGATGAGGATGGGGATGGGGATGGGGATGGGGATGGGGATGGGGATGAGGATGGGGATGGGGATGGGGATGAGGATGAGGATGGGGATGAGGATGAGGATGGGGATGAGGATGAGGATGGGCTCCGATCCCTCGCTCGCCCCCGTGTGACCCCGATTTCCCCCCAGCGCCGGGAGGGGCCCCTTTAAGATGCGTTTCCATGACGTCACACTCGCGGCTACTTTGTAGAGCGGGGAGGGGCGGGGCGTCTTAAAGGGGCCGCGCCGTGGCTGCGGGAGCAGGTAACGAGGGGGGGGTCCTGCCTGGGGGGGGGGGGGTGCTGCTGGTCCTCGGCCAGGCTCCGGCTTCGCAGCGTGCCCCCGGGGCTGCCCCCACATCCGCCCGTCTCCGTTACCCCCCCCGGGGTGTCCCTGGCACCCCCCCCCGTCCATTCACCTCCCGATGACTCCGCACCGGGCCAGCGCGGAGCTCGGAGCGGCGGGGACCGGGGATGCTGGAGCCGCCGTGCTCCGGGGTGTCCCCGTGGGGCGGCTGCCGGCGGATCCCGGTGTCCTGATGGGGCTGCCCCCGCTCCCCCATCCCGGTGTCCCTCCAGGCCTGGGGCTCGGGGTCCTCCCTCGTTGCCTCTGCAGCGGGGTGGGCAGCACGGCCCCCAAGCCCCCACAGCCCCCGGAGGAATCCCACCCCCTCAAGGACCCCTCTATGGGGCTGCTCGTGTCTGGCCCCACAGGCCGATTAGCCGGATTTCCCAGCCGGGATCCTAATCCCTCTGGCCGGTGCCCGCTTATCCCCGCTGTGCCCAGGGACCCGATGTGGGCAGGGCAGGCAGCAGTCAGGCCCTGGCCTCCTGCCCGAGCTGGCTACAGGACGTAGGAAGGTGGATGGATGGCGAGGCCATAGCTCCAGCCACCAACACCAGGGTGATGGGATGGATGCTGTGGGTGGCCCTGGGGTGTCCCAAGGTGGTGGTGGCCGGGGAGCAGCTCCGGAGCTCGGCATTCCCGGGTGTGGGTGTTGGCCGGGCAAGAAGCTGCGAGTTCAATCGTGCCACCTCTGCCTGCCGGAGCTGGGCACGGAGCTGCCTGTGAGGCTGGAAGGGGAGGCTGGCGCCCTGCTGACGGGTCCCGGGAGCTGCAGCCCTGTGGGTGAACCAGGAGGGCACGGGGGCTCGCTGGGATGGGGCTGGAGCTGCTGGGACCCCAGCACAGCTCAAGGGGCATCCGTGGGATGTGGGTGTCTGAGCTTGCACCTCGAGCCCATTGCGCTGGGGCACTTTCCCCTCCTGGAGCACCGAGGGGTCTCACCAGAAGGACTGAACCTTGCTGCTGGTCTGGCCACATCCCTCACACAGGGAAATGGAGGAGCTGCTCCTGTAGCTGGGGCTGCTCCCTGTGCTTCTTGTGCTGTGTGGATCCCGCTCCTTGCTCCCAGCGCAGCACTGACCGGGAGGGACTCGCAGAGCTTGTGCCGGATTCTGCTGGTTTTGGGTTAAGGATGAATGAGATTTGAGTTCTTTGCTCCAGGAAGGAGCTTTGCTGCAGGAATGCCGGGCTGGCCCCTGCCACCCCCAGAGCCCAGTCGTGTGCAATAAGCCCTGATCATTGCTCAGTGCTGATCCCCCTGCTCTCGCCTGCAGCCGGAGCTGAGCTGGGTGCTGGACACACCATGGCTGTGGGCACCCAGCTGGGGCTGCTGCTCTGGAAGAACTTCACCTACCGCCGGCGGCAGCGGGTG